AAAGCCAAATTATTTATTTAATTTTTCTGAAGTGTTGCTTATTTTCGGGTGTTGCTTATTTTCGGAAGAATACGGTAACCAACGTTCATCGAAATGAATCTAACTTCTCTCTTTTTTTTTGAAGGTAATGATTATTATTGATTGTATTTAATGAGATATTACTAAACTTATTTCTTAGATCATAGCAAACACGACGCAAAAGGAACCGCATACGAGATAATATTCTACGGAAAGCAGGTTATGAAGTTGAATGGCGTGCTAGGTGACGATGATTAGCTAGCTTTCTTCAATGGAGTATGGTATACACCCAAGATTTTGGAAGTAGAGACGAAGAGCATCGTGCCTATAAGACACATATTTATAATGACCCAAACCTACTGGAGCACTGCGATAGTAAAAAAATCCAAAATTTGGCAACACAGGCATTGGATAAATTTAAGGTTCGAAAATTTATTTAGTAGTGGAAGCATCACGAAGGCCAAAAAGTGCTAGGATACGTCTGAAAGCCTAATGGATACGTCTGGCAGGTTGCACTTTGATACATTTGGATACGTCTAAAGAGTATCAGGCACAACTTCGAAACTATATTTACTATTAACTTTACCCAAAAGTGCTAGGATACGTCTGAAAGCCCAACGGAAACGTCTGGCGGGTTGCACTTTGATATGTTGGATACGTCTGAACATTATCAGGAATTTTTCATTCATTTAGGAAGAAGCGAATTCGGACATAGTCGCCAGCCTTTGGAAAAATAGTTCTAAAATGTTGAGAACAGCCGTTGATCTTGATATTAACAAGATTCTTTATCGAGTGTCTGATTTACATGACGATGTCAGCGAGACGCCACTAAAGATAAATTACGTTTTGGTAACACATTTAAATTTTCATATATTTTGTATTCATATAATTTTTCTTATTCAACTATGAATAATAATATGTATTGGCAATACTGTTAGACGTAAACGATCTCGCTTTTATGAAGAAAAGTCGCAGTAGTCACCATCAAAAGGACAAAAGCTAACAATGTTAGTTGATTTTTTATTCACAGTATTTTTTTCTATCGTTCGGATGTACGCAGGCAAAAACTAGTGATAATTGGAAAGACCGATGTCGCAACAATTGATGCAGAAGAAATTTCCGATTCAGACAACACTGGTGCTGAACTGAATGATACAGAAATTGAGAACCTCAATCAGGTACTGTGGTACCCTTTATGTATAGAAGTATTGCGGAACGCGGCGAAGCCTATATAACAATTATGGAAAAAAAATACCCTTTTCAGAAGTATGTTTGATGGTATGCTTGTAGGGTATTTAACTTCAGAAATATTATATAATAATCATGGAAGAATACTCTTTGTTAATATGTTTTTGGGTATGTATTCGCCATATTGTATGGTATTTAACTTCAGGGCAGCATAAATGTGATCTTGTTATCACACAAATATAAACTCATCATCACTTGGCCAAATATATTATTTTTTTTTGACTATCTCTGTAGCCAGCCATCTCTGCAGCAAACCAACTTCTGCAATTGTTACTCAAATGATGATACAAATGCAAACTCATCGTCATTTGGCCAAATAGCAATTTCTTTTCAACTATCTTCATGAGTTATCTGTACAGAAGCCATGACGATGCAATCACGAACTCGTAATCACTTGGACAAATAAACAAAATTTTTTGTCTTCACTGGCTAACTCCGCAAGCCAACTCTTGCTATGACGATGCAATCACAAACTCGTTGTCACTCGAATGACGACGCAATGCAAACTCATCGTCTTGGGATGGTTATAATTCTTAATGAAATTAGGCGTTAATTCCATCAACAATGACCCTATTTTAACCGATTTAAGCGCTAATTCCCATTGGGGTGGTTATAGTCCGGACTAAGTGGGATATTTATAGTCTAATTAGACTATATAAATATCCCACTTCTCCATATCTTATCAAGTAGTAGCCACTTCCTTGCAAGACCTTGCTACAGAAACTGTTTACATCCAAAATTTGTCCACTTTGTTGCAAGGCATTGCTACAGAAGTTGTCACCTCCGAAATTTGCCCTCGCAAACCATCTTTAACAGTTGCAAAACCAAATGCAAAATCAGTTTCAAAATCAGTTTCAGCAATTGTTCCAGCGTTTTGATTCTTGTACGTTAGAGATCTTATTATTCGCTTATACTAAGTCCCCTTACTATTCTCTTAGTGGAGCAAAGGACTCAAGCGCGCATCATGAATTCTCTTACTCGAAAAGCTTCCGATCACCTAACACCGCTTGTCAATAACAACGGACAGCTTCCGCCCAATTTTCCGCAAACTTAACAATGAAACCAATAAACGTAGTACAGTAGTAAGGCGTTCGCGATGACGACCGTTTGTTGGTTGCCCATACGCTGTCAGCAACGTGTTTAAATCGTTATTAGATAAAGTAAGAGTATATTGTTTGATGGTCTTGGTAATTTTTCTGACATACTTCTTACTATTATTTCATCTCTAATAATTTTATCAATTACAATAGTAACCAATAGTGTATGTTCCAAATGACAGCTGGAACTTATTTATACTTGTAGTTAACATCTAACCTTAATAAACATGTTTACTTGCTTGTTGCTTGATACCAAGGAGGGGTTTATATTCCCGTTTATATTTTAAGAAATCATCTTCATTCATACTCTCGCGTTCTTTTTTCCAATGAACAAGTAAGCATATTGATTCCGGCTCAAAAAAGTGGCCGTGGAAAAGTAGTAAATCTTACAACTCTAGAAAAGGCTCAGAAGAAACCATCAAAGAATTAGCACAACGAATTTTACGAGACAAGCTCAGTGAAATGATGTGAAGCCTGAATCACAAAAGTTAGCTACATCAATATTGAATGAAAATGCTCTCTTCTAGGCTCTCGCGGCTTCGGCGAGGATTACGAAATCTTAATGCTCCTTATAATATAGTCGAAGCAACAAAAACTTCTGAGGTAATAATAACAATAATTTATAAAATTTCATTGTTATTTTTTTCGAAAAGCATAATCAATTAGCTTCAGAACCATACAAAAATTATTGCACTTCACATAGTACACAAGAGCAGGAGAGATTTTTTTATTTATATGTTTTACTATTAAAATTTTGTGTCACTCCGTCATTTATTGGAGGGGGCTGTATATGTAGTTCAGCAATAAAGTTATTGACATTTTCCATGACTATTAACGTATCTTATGTGATTAAGTAAAAATGTTTGAAAAGTCTTAAAATACGTAAATATAAATTTTTACAGCGTAAGATTAAAAATGTATTAATGACTTCACTCAGTACGCGTTGTTTACATCTAACGAAGGACACAAAATTAATACGCGTTTGTTTGTATAAATTAAATTAGTAATCAGACAATACAAACCCTTGTAGACAGCATGCCTGATCGAGTTTCTGCTGTTACAACCAGCAAAGGAAATCCTACAAAGTATTAATCATATTAATACAGTGTGTTAAGAAAAAAACGGCGGTAACAAAAATTGGCATATCTCAACAATTACGAGGAATAACGAAAAGCAACCAGGCTCGTTAGAGAGCGTATTAGGTACAATACTTAATGTAAAAATTTTAATACATTAATGTTATTACCATTTCCCCATTATATTTCTTTGCGCCAGTTTTTTAATGCATACAAAAATCTTTGTCTTATTTCCAACTAATATTGCAGATGCAAATTTCACTGTTTATTGAATATACAATATGCTTACGTAAAGTAGTTGGTTTACTGCGCGATAATCTTATTTTCTCCCACGGTCCATTCTCTGGTATGTTATGTATAAAACTTTTGATCGAGCAGAATTATTTCTCTCATGCTCTAAGATGCTAATGTTTTTAGCTTTTTAAAATTGTTCTCAATGAAAAAAAGGATAAACACTTGCCTTTTGGTGTAGTACTGTTGAGAGAATGGACATCGTTGGAGTGTAAATCTAAAATAAAAATAATGTTGAAAAGATTTCTCTCGGCGACTGTTAATTATGAAATATTTGCGCGAATTATCCAATAATTAACGTCACATTAATACTGATTAGTTAAATTTATTGGACAACTTTATGTATTGCACATGACTCCAGTATGCACACCAAAGACTTTTCGGATTAGAATATCAAGTGTTTATTTATAAAATTAATGGTAATCGTGCATGTGCACTGGATTCTCATCAGCATATGACTTGTAAACTATAAATTATACTGCCTTCTTTATCTTCAGCGAAAAATCAACATGAGGCACGCCTTGGGATAGACTTCCCATGCTCAAAATGTCGACGTCTGCAAAAAAAAAAACAAAAAAAACCACAAGTTATTGTCATCAGAAACTTCATACTCGCCCACGCTCTCTTTTCATTACAAACCCGGAGAAAAATATTCCGTAATATTGTCTTCGGTGATTCCCCCACTGGCCTCGATCAGAAATTTTCTGGTACTGCTCCAATTCTTTTTCAAATTTGTTGCTGCCTCCGATAACACGTCTCCTTTCATATTGTCCAACATTACTATATCAGCTCCCGCCTCAATTGCTTCAGTGGCGTCGAGTTTTGACTGGCATTCTACTTCTATTTTTAATGAGAAGCCACCAACAGCGCGTGCTCGTTGGACTGCCTTGGTTATCGAGCCTTAAAAGGGCGAGAGAGTTTGATAATAGCAAAGCGATATGAGTCTGAAGAAAGACAAAATGCGAATATAAATGCAAAATATGAGGCAATTACCTTGACTCCAGATGTGGTTGTCTTTTAACATTATCATTGATGACAAGTCCATACGGTGCGTGTCTACTCCTCCAACTAACATGCCATACTTTTCAACTAAACGGAAGCCTTATGAACAGAAATAATTACGTTGTGTCGATACCAGTTGATAATAAGTTTTATATATTTCTTTTTTCAGTAAAAGTACTTACCAGGAGTAATCTTTCTCGTTCCTGCAATGATTCCATTATATCCGTGCTGTTTCTTCAACGCTACACATTTGTTTGCCCTATCAAAGAAAAAACCTTATTGTGTCTAATAGTTACCAACTGATGTTTTCGGACCCATTGCATTCCACAACATATCCAGCTATCTGTTCTGCTCTAAAATTTCCCGGCAACTCACCAGACACATTTATAACACACACCTAGTAGCAATCCCACTACACCTCGCTAGAATATTTAATGCGGTCCGCTCTCCCAATAATATATCGCAAGCTTTCCCAGTCACTCTAGCACACGGTTTTACAGGTTCAAAAGATTCTCCTTCGGATATAAGCCATTCAACGCGACAGCCCAATTGGTTGAATACTTCGTCAAAGAAAGGAACTCCCGCTAAAACACCCTGATTAACAAGTAGAATGCGATTGCGATTTGAAAAATTAGTGTTTATAAGATTGATAAGTCATCCTGGAAATGAAAACAATATGATACGGTATACACATTCACGGTAAAGTTCGGATAATCATACTTTCTCTACAACGCAAAACTAGTCAACAGTAACTTACTGGAGACTTTCCATATAACACAGCAACTTCCGGTGTATCCCCAACAACGTATCCACCATAATCAAAGGAAGGAGCGTCTTGAGCTAACCAGTTTTTAATGTCTTCCTTATAGTGTGGTGGAAGTAACTTTGCATATTGGGAGGACATCGGAGTAATGCTAAAAGAGATGATCGGGTAAATTTTGGGATCGTCTTAAATAAAAGACACGTGGTGACAATCGCTAATTTGTTTATTATTATAGATATATGAGAAATTACACATCACTGATCCCATAATTCAGAATTATATAAATGCTAATTGCCTGAAAGCAAAAATCAGGTGAGATCTTTGCTGTAATCAACAACCCTGATGCTAAGAGGAAGCTTAAATTCGATTCATCCACGACGGAAATCACCAACATTTCCTTTGCATTACCTTTCTTTCTTTTCAAAGAGATTGGTCTCAAGTATGGAATCAAAAGGTCCAATTTATACATCCATATTTAACAAGGTATAACAAATTCTACTCAATTAAATATCATTTCATAAACTCTTATCACTTACATTATACATACTCAATTCATAGTCATTTAGCTCACAATAACTTTTATCCATATTCAGCTGTCAACCCTCTCACCGACGAATCTTCAAATAATAAACGAATCTCATCTACATGCTCACCATCAAGCTATGCAAGGTGTTTCAAGTAAAGAGACTCACTTTAGGTAGATATCACCATTGTCTAAGTTTCTTGACTGTTATAATATGCTAACTTTTGTAATGCCCCAGGGTTGAGGTAGTATCTAAAGATTTCGAAGGAAAATCCTTGATGCAAAGACACAGGTTGATATATCAGCTTCTTGATGACGAGTTAAAAAATGGCGTTCATGCATTATCAATAAAAGCCAAAACACCTGAAGAAATTGGTGACTAATGTGAGATAGAACCGCGTAATCAATACATTATATTGCCTGTAATTTACATCAGCACAGTTTATTCTTTAAGATTATAGATCTTTGTCAGAAATGTTAGGTCTGGACTATTGATAACTGAAACATAAGATTTACAATAAAGTTTCGCTATCAGCTCAGTTTGTTAACATTATAAAAGGTAGCGAATTATCGGGACGCTGCTGATAAAATGCTTACAACTATTGTTTCCGAGTTGACGAGAATCGAGTATATGACTTTATATAAGCTCACAATGCTCGAGTGAAATAAAAGTATCATGATAGCTTGTATAATATTTTTGGTCACTTAATATCACACTATTTCCATATATTCACACAACAGGGAACTGTTTCATTTACGCAACATTAAAGTCTGCTTCGCATTATTATTGACTTGCGGCATAACCAAATGTAAGATTATTACAGTCTTTTAGTAATCTCATCAATCTTCCTCCTAATAACTCCTCCCAAACAAACAATATCTTTTAGCATCGTTGCCACATGCCACGCATTTTGTCTCTCCAGCAACAATTGGCGGGTTCTTTGGTTGATCAAACGGAATACACAGAGATTTTGCTCCCATAGATGGCGCACGTTCATCTTCAGCCTCGTCTTGAGTCGCTCTGCACAGGACGCAATTTTTTTGCGGTCAGTCAAATCATTCACAGTTTCCCTGCTCATCCCTGTTTCTCACTTACTTTCTTGCACTGTTTTCCTTTATCTGATCTTCACACTGCCCAGTTTCACACCACGGAATCAGTACAAAGTTTTTGGCATCCAGCATTGGAACAAAATCGTCCCATTTTAAAACTATCTTGACGTGCTCATCGTATGTTTTCTTGGCCCTTTCAAACATTTCACGTTGGATAGTATCCAAAAGTTCTGGGACGCGGGTAGTAAGTTCGGATAAAGGAATTGGTTTTTTCTCGAAAGTGTCGCGACGGATTCCCATTACTTGGTTTGAGGATACATCTCGAGGACCTATCTCCAAGCGTACGGGAGTACCCTGATGGGAAACAGATAAAACGTAAGTCACATATACGTAAAATTCAGACGCGTATAATGTCAATGCATTGGAAAAGCCATGTATATGCCATGTTTCCTTCAACGTTAACTTGTACCCTTAACTCCCAGTGATTAAATTTATATGCCGGAGTGTAATTATCTCTCAAATCCGCCTTGACTTTGATTCCAACCGCTTTCAATTCTGTCAAAACTTCCTGGATTTTATCTTCAACTTTCTTTCTATCTTGCTCTTTAGATTTTGCAGTCAAACCGCACGGAATGACCACAACCTGTAAATTTGCCACACGCGGTGGCAACACTAATCCTCTGTTGTCTCCATGAGTCATTACCATAACACCAATCGTACGCGTCGTCAATCCCCATGAGTTTTGCCATACATTGATTTTCTTTGCGGTCCCATCTGTGACCGAGGGGTCTTCAATAACGATATCAAACATTTTTGAGAAATTTTGACCGAGACAATGTGAGGTGGCCGCTTGGATTCCACGACCGGTAGTAGGAATAAAGCCCTCAATAGTGGTGGTGTAAAGGCCTCCAGCAAATTTTTCTTTTTCAGATTTAACGCCTTTGATTACTGGCACTGCAAGAAGATCTTCATACACTTGACGATAGAGTTCGAGAATTTGTCGCACTTCGACATCAGCCTCTTCCTTTGTAAGATGGGCTGTGTGACCTTCTTGCCAGAGAAATTCTCGTGTACGTAGGAAAGGCTCTATTAAAAAAGGTATCATGGTAGTATACGTTCATTAGCGACTAGTATAAAAAGTTGTATTAAAAGGACGTTGTTAATGACTGCGCATCCGCAAAATGCAATTTCCAAAACAATATAAAGATACTTGCGAGGATTTTTGAATTCCCATCGAACAACATTACACCACTGATTGAGTTTTAATGGCAAATCGCGATGGCTTCGAATCCACTTTGCAAAGTATGGATACATGACAGTCTCTGACGTTGGCCTAATAGCAATGGGTTCCTCCAAGTTGGAAGAGCCACTGGTTTGATAGCAATAATATACGCAGCATTAGACACGAATCAGACACGATAATATTCAAAAGAACGAATACCTACGCTTTGGTGACCCATGCAACCTCAGGGGCAAAACCTTCGATGTGCGCCTTTTCCTTCTCCAGTACTCGTTGCGATACAAACATGGGGAAATATGCATCTTCGACGCCAAGTTTTTTTATTTCTGCATCAAAGAATTCTGTAAAAACGCAACTTTGCGTTAGAATTTGCAATTTTCGGGTCCGCCCACAATAACCGGAATTCTTTAGGTATATCGAATAGTAATTTCAAAAAACTCACTTTCGATCTCCTGCCAGATATTGTATGCTAATGGCCTAATAACGTAACACCCAGAGATATCATAGTATTCAAGCATGTCAGAGCGTGTCAATACCTTTTAAATAGATATATACGCATGATATGAATAAGATTAGAGTGACAATGTCTGAGGTACTGAATAGTATGTATGACTCGGTCACCTGTTGATACCATGTGGAAAAATCCTTTTCCTTTTGCACTTCGATACCAGTCTTGGACATCTTGGAAAATGGGGGGTTTCTTCAGCAATAAATAGTTTGCTATGTTCGAGACTATCTATAGTGAGGTCTTGCTATATGCAAATCTGCTTTTATAAAACTTAATAATAAATCTGTCTATAGTGCATGCGAACTTCCAAGTCCAAAATGAAATTCACGTCTTTCCGCATTTCTATAATAATAATAACCGTCACGTGAACCACACGCTCCAATTCTACCGTTTATTTGCGATCCGCCAGTTCATTGTATGGTTGATAAAAGTCTTGTGATGTTGACACGACTTTATAGAGAGAGAGAGAGAGTATGCTTTTCAAGCAGAATGCTTCGCGTGGTGTTGCGTCTTGCCCATTAAATTTTGTTTCACTTATCATTTCAGAGAGTTAGCTTTCCCCAAAAACTTTAACCCTGCCTGTTTTGACGGCAGAATGGTAGTCAAATTAGAATACTTCAACGTGTTAACATAAGAGCAATCGTGGGCTACTACTAAGCATGCTGCCGATCCTGAATTAATTCATTATGCTGCGAAGAAATTAGACCGTAATAGTGAATATTCCATTCCTCCGCTATTTCTGCGGCGAATCCTGCCGTAGTAATTACCAAACGTCGTACTAGGATTAGAATAAAATGATCCAACATCCGCTGATGCTTTACAGTCAAACAGCTGATTATAAAGACCGTTGTATGGACTGATGCCTTATAATGACCACCGGTGCTCGGTTCACTTCCCAACCGCTGGATATAATAATAAGGATCGACTAGTTAATTAAATCCAAAATTAAGTTTGTCATATTAATATAAATTTATTATTTGGGGCATGTCGCAACAAACCAGACAAAGTGAACATAATAATAACGCCACACAATACACTGTATTGTTAATAATTATTGTAATAAAAATTTTATTGATTAACGTTTTGTCTTGCCTTAGAGCATTATTGTACACCTAAGCAATACCACTACGAGCTTTTGTCTTGCAAAAAATCCTAGTTCGAATACGCAACACAACCAAAGAATCGGGATAATATTAAAGCAAAAAAAATTGGCCAATTTGAACTTGATAACTTTTTGTGCGCGTACACAAATAATTGATGCAAATTTTATGTTGAAAGCGTCTTCAAGAAATCCTGGGAATTGCTGAAGCGCTTCAGCAAGGTAATCAACCCAAGCTGGATAATTTATTATAACAAATGAGAGAGGTACAGATGTTGTATAAGACGACTGTATATTGCTATCAACAACCCCTGTGATGAATACACGTAGAAAACATTAATAAGTGGCTAAAGGCGTTGTTTATAAATCATACTAGTTTAAAAAGATACAATACATACATCAGTATCGTCCAAACCAAAATGGACACTCCCTTCTGACACTGCAAGTTTTGCTAACGAGTCTGTTAAATTCAGGAGTGTTCAGTGCCGGCCTTTTGAAGAACTATGTAAGTTCTGTATCTGATGAGTTTTTTGAGTTTATCGCTAAGAAGATCATAAGACTCGAATAGGAGAGCCCGTATATTCAGTAAAACATAAAGTTCATCAGTAAATACATATATACACTACCTGGACAAAAGTATTGGCCACCCTAACTTTATTAATTGTTCAAAAGTGTACATAATAATTGGGACT